GGGGGGGGGGGGGGGGGGGGGGGGCGAGGGCGGGTGTAAAAATAAATCAATAAACTGGCAATGCTGCTCTGGACAATTCTAATGGAGTTTATTTTTCGACATACCTGCTAAATGAAGGATGGACCTTTTTGCTTAATGAATCAGTAAAAGAAAAAAAGAAGAAGAAAAACGGGGGCAATTTTGGTTTAAGGGTTTGGCAAAACAAAGCCTTACTTGTGACATAGGAAATAAAGTGAGCGAGAAAAAGCTTGCATAGTGGAGATACTGATTACACTTTCAATTTCAATTCCACTAATCTAACGATGCAAATCTTAATTTCAGGTGATTGAAGGCCTGCTTATGGACATCATGAAGAAAAAAAATGAGGTAAGACGATTTTATCGCAATTTACTCTATTCAAAGAAAAGGCATTTTTAAAGCAAAGTTAAATTTGTTAGTTCATCTGTAATTATTTATGTAGTTAGTATATTTATGGGGCAGTTTGTTAACTCTAAAATGTTGCTAACTTCTGACAATTTGTAAATCCTTACTTTTTTTTTCAGGCACAGCTAGCCTAGCTGCGCATGCGCCCTGCTAAAAGCAGGAGTAGTCATCATTCTGGGTTGAACTAATGATAACGTTGGCACGTAGATTTCAGACCTTTTGGAAAAAGCCGGAGCTGGTGTACAAGCAGCTGTCAACCGAAACTGGTGTTAATCCTTTAGACTGAAAATATCTTTGTTTCAATTTTTTTTTAACAAGTTAACTTCTGATTGAAAATAAAGTTTTAGATTTGAAAATGAAATCGTCTATTAATTTTGGGGTTTGTATGCTTTTACACGCGCCTCCATGTCCATCGACTGCACCTTGACGGAATGACACCATAGCCTGTGTACAGACTGGCCCCCTCCCCTCAGGAAAAATTGGAGAAGAAGCCCCTTCTCCCCCTTCTGCGATTTTGTCTCAGGGGATGGGGCGGCTGTACACAGGCAATGACGCTATTGAAAATTGAGGGAACTACTGGGAAAAGCTAGCATGTCGTCATAAAAAATAAAAAGGCAATAGTACATCTAAATTTGTGCAAAATAATTGCTCTTGTCTTTCTCGTTTGATAAAGAAGGGTTGTTGAAATGATGGAGCAACCTCTTTTAGGCCACGTCCACGAAAGCGGACATTTTGAAACCGCATATTTTTTTATCCGGATTCGAGCGGAAGGGCTCGTTTAACCCCTCTGGAGAGCAGTTTCAAGACAATGCGGTTTCGGTGAGCAGACCCACTGGTTTCGTGTGAACGGAAGGTCGATTCGTGTTTTAAAGTATGCGGTTCCAAAAATATCCGGATTCGTGTAAACGTAGCCTTTAAAATTCAACTATTCACACTTTTACTCGTCCTCACATCACACATTTTTTTACGGACAACAAACAACTGTTTCGATTTCTCTTGGCCTCACAAAGCATAAAATGTCTCATGGTTCTCTGCTTTCTCATAACGGACCAACCAACGGAAAAAACGCGCGCAAATTCGCGAAGAGGAAGGCACAGTGACTCTACTTATTTTGTTACCACAAAATATTATAGTCTTCTTCAGGAATGCTAAATATTTATTTGTTATTGATATTGTTGTTGTTATATTTAATTCGTTCACGTTGTTTTTAGTCTTTACTTTTCTTTCTAAATTGAAAGCTTAAAGGCAGTTTTCAAAAATAGTTTCTAATACATTTAAAATGGTGTAAAATTTGGTAAGGGCGTCACTTCACCGCGACAAGTTTTATTTATAGGTTGAGAAATAGTGAAAGTTTAGCCTTGCAAGCTTCATCAATACCTCAGATGTGATATAAAAAGTATAAAAGGCTGGTTTACGCGCTGCCAGATTTGTCGGCATGATTTTGTATATAACGAGTAGATTGGCTACCACCGAGGATCATCGTGTCTTATAATCGGCCTTTGTAGCATAAAATTATATTTCGGGGCTGTCCAATTAACCTTTAAAAATGAAGGTAGTGTAGACGGGCGAATAGGTTTTATTGTTTAGAAAGAATTGTTTTACAAGCGTTATCTACTGTGATCAAAGGTGATTGTTATTTTTTGTATTCTGGGCGTACCTGATCGGAGGAGAAAAAGCGGAAAGCTGAGAACGAATGATGCGCGTACATACAAGTATACGAAAACGCCAGAGGCACGGACAGCTTCCCTCTCGTCTCGCGCCAGTGCGCACTTTGTAAGCCCCCCCCCCCNTGTCTTATAATCGACCTTTGTAGCATAAAATTATATTTCGGGGCTGTCCAATTAACCTTTAAAAATGAAGGTAGTGTAGATGGGCGAATAGGTTTTATTGTTTAGAAAGAATTGTTTTCCAAGCGTTATCTACGGTGATCAAAGGTGATTGTTATTTTTTTTGTATTCTGGGCGAACCTGATCGGAGGAGAAAAAGCGGAAAGCTGAGAACGAGTGATGCGCGTACATACAATTATACGAAAACGCCAGAGGCACGGACAGCTTCTCTCTCGTCTCGCGCCAGTGCGCACTTTGTTCGTGACCCACTTTTCAGTTATCACAAACGGGTAAACAATGTTTAGCTAACGTGCGCCAAAGACGAAACTAAACTCTGGAAAACAGCGCCCAGAATCATTGTTCTCCCCCTCAGTGTACAAGGATTTGAGTACGCGCCATGATTGGCCTGTTAAAAAAGCCATTGTCGATTTGCCAATCAGGTTGAAGGGAAATTCAAAACGCACTTCCGGTAATTCGTTGAGTCCGTTGGAGGCCCACAACAAGGATCTCGGCACTGCTTCGCAAACGTTACTAACCGGCGGTTAAATTACGTCTTCGACGCAGGCTACTAGCATGCATGACAATAAGTTTCTCACGACTTACACCAGGAATCTGATGGTATGACTTCCTAATTCCAGCAACTGTCTCCCGGTAACTGTCTTTATCGGGATATCCCATGATGCGCCAGAGACAGTGCAGAATCCTTCTGGCTTTCTCTCAGCGCACATTTTTGGCGCTTTCAATAAAAATACTATTTAACTATTTCATTACTTTGTTTATTTGTTAACTTTATTTGGGCGCAGAACCCATTTCTTTACGGCTAAGTTTGTAGAAAAAACCAGACTCAAAGGCACCCAGAAAAATTTCTCCTGTCTCCAGGCCCAAGCAAACTTTTTAGAACGAACCACAATCTTATCAATGGCTTTTCGCAGTTATGTCTCATCAATGGCTCTTTTAGAAGTTACCACCAAGACATTTTTTATTAGAGATGTGTACTTGGGAAAAATTGGCGAACGAGCTGAAACACTAAGAAACATTCACCGACACATGCATTTTCTATTGTGTACACTCCGAGATAAAAGAGACATTAAAAAATTTTGGGCCTTAAACTCAATCGGATGCACGAATCGTAGTCGAATTGTTTCACAAGTACGGAGCGCCATGTGGCAAATTTCGTGCTCGTTTTTTTTCCCGACTCTTTTTTCTCCTTGAAGTTTTAACCCGCCTCTTCCTCGACCTTTTTCGTTTGTTTGTTTGTTTGTTTGTGATTTTCGCGACTTTTTTCCTTCGCTGACTTTATCACTATGATCGAAACTAGCTTACCTCCCCAATGCCCCCCCGCCCCTCCCACCTATTTTCCCTTCCTCCCAATCTCCTACCCCTGGGGCTCTTTCGACGCCTGCCTGTGTACACAGGCCGATGAAACCCAGGCAACCAGTAATTTACCTCATTTAAAGAAACTTCCCTGGGAAAGTTATGGCGTTCTATATTATATCGACTACTGGCTACGCTAAGAGAGAATAAGCTCCTGCTTCACTGATTGTTCTTCCTGTTTTTCTGAGAATTGAAGCCCCGCCTACACGCCATAGTGTC